CACTATGTACAGTTATGTATGGCACCCTTTCAATTGGGGCTGCAATTGCTTGAAAGGGGTAGGGAGTTTTGACGGGGAAAGGGGTTTGGACTTAAAGCCCTCCATCAGAGCTAGTTTTAACTTTTTTTAAAAATCGCAAACAAATCCAGCTACATTGAATTAGATCCAAGTCATTTAATCTTTCTGTGTCGGTAGATGGAGACTGTTGATTGACATGTGGCTTCTGCACCTTTAATCAGCAGATTAACAATGCTAATGTTACCAACTGAATTATTTCAGCGCTGAATATCAGCAGCAAGTTATATGCCCTAATTTTTAAAGTTTAATATTAATTCTCAGACCTAATATTCTAAGCTCTGGTAGTTTCTAGGCAAATGGTAACCTTGGGCTCCAGGATTTCACACAAGAATCCAATGGGCCCTCCAGCATCATATAAAGCAATGGTCCCCAACCTTGGGCCTCCAGATGTTCTTGGACTGCAATTCCCAGAAGCCTTCACCAGCACCTCTGCTGGCCAGGATTTCTGGGAGTTGAAGTCCAAGAACATCTGGAGGCCCAAGGTTGGGGACCACTGATGTAAAGCATCCATGCCTTAATGTCTGGAACACTGACTACAGAAATAGTTGCAGTCTGTGTGCTGTTTCAGAGCATTCTCACCACAGACAGAGCAGGATTCTAATAAGGACAAAGCAGAGAGAAAGCTCTATCTTTACAGAACAGCTTTAACGGCCATCAGAATGAAAGGCAACAGAAGCAAGGAGTTTACGGCACAAGCTCTCTCTCCTCCCACCCACTGGTCTAACAGTAAAGTGAAAGAGGAACAGGAGGTCACATCATACTCTTCTCCCTCTTCAGGCTCTGTACTGCTGAATAAATGCACATCATTTACTAAATAAATAAATAAACAAATAAATAAATAAGTCAGCATTAAATTGCAGCTGTAGCAGGATGCTGTAATTAAGACATACTGGAAAAAGCAAGAAAAGAGAAAGCATTAAAATGTCAGTTCATTAACAAACCTGAGTTTTCCAAAAGAAGGCATTAGTGAACATGCAACTAAGCAAAATAGAAGTATCAGGGACACACGTAGAGACATACACAAACCGCAAAAGCAGACATCCAAGTTCACGTTTGCTTCACAGGAAGAGCAGATGTACTACCTCTACTGGTGCACACAAGATATAAGCAACTGGAAAGGTATAAAGAGCTCTGTGACATTTCAAGTGGAGTGGGGTTTTATTTTTTTTGAGGGGAATGGCCACAGTACTTTTTATAAGGCATGGGGGGGGGGAAGAGAACTCGCACTTTCCCTCAAAAATAGTGTTAAATAGTTCAGCCTCAATGTCTGGATTTTCCCGAGGTTGCTATTGCTCCTTAGAAAGACTGCTACATTACTCTATTTAAGCCCTATCTCATGGTGCCATTGGATTCTTTGCTGTGTCACACAGAGGTGGAATAAAGACTCTGGTCACTGCTACGAGTTATCTCCATGCTGTTAGTACTAAGTACTGTACTCTTGAATTGGTGGATTTTTTTTTAGTGAAATTCAGAATACAGTACTGAAGTTCCCTCACAATTTCATAAGCATATGGTGGGACATGCACCCAAAATGTAATGTACCCTCTGATACTATTACATAGAAAGTAACAGAATAGTATCCAAAGAAACAGTTAAAACAAAACCAAAAACAAGAAATTACCTCAAGCTAGCAGTGCAATTGTGGCAGGAATATAGTTGTATTATTTAATAAGGATCAACATATGTTAGATAAGTGAGAACAATGCAATGGATGTTTTCCCTACAACCCTTGAACCCCTGATTGCTTAATACTGTACTAGTGTAGGGCCTATGGTGAACCTAGGCTTAGTCCATAAAGTAAGTTTTAAAACAGTCTTTTTGGAAAATCATAAATCTATGTTTTGCCATAATCATAAGCAAGATATATTCAGAATATTTACAGCAATGCAGAGCACTGCACTTTATTCAAGTAGGATTCTTTTACTTACAATCTGCATCTTGCAATAAATTATGGGACTAACCATTACACTGTTTAAAAGACTAATTGATTACATTGATTTTTCAAAAACTGCCCTTTATTTTGTTTACTTGCTGCATTTTTACGACATCTTTCTCTCAGATTATTAAACTAGAATAATCTACCACAAACTGACCAAATGGATGTCAGGATTTCTGTATGAAAGCAATACTAGCAGTTGCTTTTGACAGGCTTTTAACATGAAAAGATTGCTAGAAGTCAATCAGCTTCCTGAATTAAACTTAAAAGCCAGCACTTTCTCCCTGAAAGGTTTTACTTATTTTACCATTTCACTTATTTGCCCGATGTCAGGCTCCCCAGTTTCCTGAAATGAAGTCATCTGTGCTATTTTATTGAGTTCTGCTCTAAGATTCCAAAAAACTGGAGAATTATTGAAATCAGCATCCTTCTTTTTGTTGCTAACACAAATAAGAATTTAGCTACCCTGTTTCTCCGAAAATAATCTGAAAATAAGCCCTAGTATAATTTTTCAGGATGCTTGTAATAGAAGCCCTACCCCCAAAATAAGCCCCAGTTAAGTGAAAGCCCGCCCTCCGCCATTGTGCAGCAACGAGAAGATGACATGACTGTATTCAAATAAAGGTAGATTGTTGTACATGAAAAAAACATCCCCTGAAAATAAGCCCTAATGCAGTTTTTTGGGAGCAAAAATTAATATAAGACCCTGTCTTATTTTTGGGGAAACACGGTATATATCCAGCATGCAACAGTATGAGCTGCTCCTTTGCAAAAACTAGAATGTTAATTTCCAGGCTCCCTCCAGAAAAGCATCCTACAGACTCAACATCCTCCTTCAGTTTGCATTCAAACAGTTAACCCTCTTGAAGTACAAGGTGTACTTAGCATCCTAATTAGGTCTTGACGGATTCTACTGTAAGCCAAATGGCTTGGTTCTAGACTTACTTCTTCCTGCTAGACTCTTTAAAACCAAGTGGGATAATACAGTAGTTACTAATGAAGGCACTGCATTCCAAATAGAGTCACTGGTCAAAGAGGGAGAGCTGATGCTTCTGAGCTTACTCAGCAATCCTTAGGACACTCTCACTGCAAACATTGTGGGGACATTAACCAAGTGACTGTTGTGCAATGGAATAGCACATGCCTGCAAGAAAATAAATGTGGAAACATCTAGAGCACTAGCCTTCCGCCACTGGACCTTCATTTATTTTGGACTTCAACTCTAAAGGCCCCAGGCAACATAGACAATGGTCAAGAGTTCTGGGATGCTAGGGGCTCACATGAATTTGTAGGTCAAAACGTGTGGCATGCCACAGGTTAAACAGCACTGATCTTCCGGACTATTTATAACCAGCCTGAAAAGGGTGAGAGAAGTCTTGTTCTTTGTTTCAAGCAGAAAAGTCTTTTTAGAAGGGATCAATAGACAAATCTATTAGCACAGTGATGTCAATACTGTTCACTTATAGAGTTCACCAAAGTATTATTCTTCTTACTTTGCTCATGGCCCATGTGCCGGCTTTATTCCTGGTATGAAATATGAAACAAAAATAAATCTGTTTTTTCTTGACTGTTCCAAGATTACAAATTTAGTAATTTACTACAGGGTTTTTAAAAGTCAATGAATATGCCAGCTTGCAACTTCTCTGCATAAAAAAAAAATTATTTTACAAGATTAACATCTCAACAGCTTAAAGATGATGTTGTTTTTTTATCCCAAGAGTCTACACTTTGACTGTAAACTGTGTGCAGAGGTATGGTGTATGAGGGGGAAAATGTTGATCATCTCTTTTTTAAAAGAGGAAGTCTACCTGCTTCCCCACATTTTCCTCACTTTTTCAGTGATGGTAACTTGCATCCATAAACATTATGTACTGTAAAAATCAACCTCCATCCAGTATTTCTTCCTTGGGGATTTGCAGAAGGGGTTGCAAAACATATTTTCAACTCTCCCATTTCATGAGATTAAGATAGATGCACAGTGCTAAGATTACAACTGTGAGACACAACCCAGGAACTCGAAACGAGCCAGGAGTGTTCGAGTTAACATTGTCAAGCAGTACTACTGAAAGTGGAATAATAGTTTCCCTGTCCATTCAAGACAGATAAAAGACAAAATAAGGGATGATTATACTCGAACAAAGGAAACCAAGAACGACAATTACAATTTCGACTGAGATGTTAGAACTTCACCTCTTGAGCTACCCTTGAAAGCTGAATCATTTCTGAGAAATATAACTGAGAGACTTTCCATCTGCCATAGATTTATGAAGAAACAATTATCTGCTATTATTTTGTAAGATTGCTTCACTGCAGGTTTATTTCAAATACATGCGATTTGGGCAGATTGATCACCTTGCAGATTTCTGCCTGGCACACCAATTCAGATTTAGTAATTGCACCATTTGATTTGGTGTTACAGGTACTGGGGCGAGTGAGTTAGCAGATCTGAAAAAATTCTTTAGGGATGTGAATTAATCTCAATTAATCCCCTTAAACCACTTCTCCACTCCGACATATCTGTAATGATTTACTTGCTTAGAAATGTCGAAGACAGTCACAGAGTCTTGCCTTCATCTAACGTTATCACCTTGCTAAACAGGGAAAACTGGTATTTTTGATCTCAGGTTTACAAGTGCCAGTGTTACAAAGGGAAATATTTGACTCAGTAAGTGAAGCCACTTATATCCAAGCAAAGGTGGAAATGCCTCATAATCTAATCAACACATACACTTAAACTTGACTTCTACAGCCAAGTTTTTTCATCTTCTCTCACTGATCAGCTTTCAAGAAGAGCTCCAGGATATGACAGCAGAAATTTAGGCACCTTCACAGCATCAAAGACCTCCATGATGAGTTATCCCCTTGGAATACACCAAGCACACCCTTTTGCAAGCAGCAGTAACAGGCGTGCCATGGCATCTTAGCACACAGAAGTTTAGAAAGTTTGGCTAAGCTGCAAAAGGGACACACATAACATACACATTACCTGGGATGAGGACTGTAATTCACATAAGGAACAAAAAAACAAAAACAACACAAAATAAAACAATTATAACATGCCATTTCCATGCCTCATGACTTACAGCTATTCTACAAACTATATTTCTTTTACATAAAAGATTATTTATAATTCTATTTCACCCTACAAATTAAGACATTTTGCTTGAAATCCAGTAGTGAGTCACAACTAGAGCACACCTACTGAATCCATGGGAATATGGTGAGTCAATGCCTATCTAAATTCCACTGACTCAAGTAGACCTACTTCAGCTGTGACTTACTGGATTTCAGCCTTTGTCTGTATGGTACACTCAATGGGTGGGTGAAGTACAGCCTGCTGGGCACATGTGACAGTGGGGAGCAATTCTGCTACATTGTGGGTCCTACCCCTCTCAGGTCATTGTAGCTTTTTTCCATGTTGAACATGACCCCTGTTCACTCCCAGTTTTGAAAGAAGCCCACTACGACATAAAACAAGCTACAGATGGACAAAAACAGTTAAAAAAAAAACAAGGCCACAAGGAGCATTTTTTTAATAGGAGGTGATTCCTGGAATCACAAGGAGGAAGTGTGGCTTTCCAAGGTCCAGGAAGGGGCTGTTTGATCTTTAGAAGGTGCTTGCCCCTGATCTACCTGAATAATGTCTAAGAACTATCAGCCTCACTCTGCCCTTATGATACATTAAAAAAACTAGATCAGCTATGTACCAAGAGGATCTTCAAAGAGAGTTACAAATCAAGGAAGTGGAGACTTAAAGAGAATTGTCTTGGAGAAGAATAGTTGAAATCAGAGATAGGGAGCCAGTGGCCTGCTAAATGCTCAGACTCCACTATTGCCCCTCAGTGACTCTGAGTAGGAGTAGATTGAGCTTGAATCCAGAAATTTGTGTAAATCTACAGGTTCTCCATCTTTGGTTTAAGTGGCATCAGGCTTACTAAATTCCAGCAGCTCTTAAAATTAAGGCTTTTATTCAGCTGATTAATTTACAGAGGGAGAAGCTCAGCAGAAGAGCCAGGTTGTATAGTGGTGCCTCGCATTACAACGTTAATTCGTTCCAGCAAAATCGCTGTAGAACGAAAACATCGTAAAATGAAAATAAGCTATTGAAATGCATTAAAACCTGGTTAATGCGTTCCAATCGGCTAAGAACTCACCATCCAGCGAAGATCTTCCATAGGGGCGGCCATTTTCGGGTGCCTGTGCAGCGAAAAATGGATCCTAAACACAGCGGGGAGCCGTTTTGAGCACACGGGGCTATTTTGAAAACCCGACAATCAGCTGTTTTGATCGTCGGGAAGCGAAAATCGGTTCCCAAAACAGGGAAACGATCATCGCGCAGCGAAATTCCCCCAAAACCTCGCAAAAACCTCGTAATGCAGATTTGTCATTAAACAGAGCGCCCGTCTTGCGAGGCACCACTGTATTTAATTTCAGTTTGGTGCGGCTCCACATCATGAACAGGTGGCACTGGTGGTTCCATAATGGACTGCACTTAAGACACACCTACGTTTTAGTAGGGAATTTATAGATCTTTGACAAAATCTGATTTTCTTTGACCACAGCACTCAGTGAAAGTAGAAAATATGTAGAAATCTGTAGGTGACTGACTCCAAATGGCAACAGCAGAGCTCATTTACTTTTAAAGAAACTTAAGTCTGCTTGACTGGACTGATAGTTCAGAAGAGTCAATGCAAATACCTTTTTGCTTGGAGCCACACAGTTGAGATCTAGAGAGCTTTCTGATACTGGTCAGGACAAAAGCATAAACAATATGTGTGACCGCCGGGTGAAATGCATGAGTCTCAGGTTAGCACTGGCCCAGGAACAAGGATTCCTTCAGTCATTACTTGTCTTTTAACAATTTCATTTAAAAATAGAAAAAAGTAAAGTCTTAACATATGCATTTATGTACAAGGTACTTCAAGGCTACCTAGAAGTTTCTTAGGCATGCTATTTAGAACTGAGACTTCTAGAAGGATTTAATTGCAACATCAAATCACAAGAAAAAGGGAAACCTTTCCCCATATCAAGTCAGGTTAAACCATCAAGCCTTTCAGAAAAATAACAAGGAGCAGGTGAATTATATTCGGGACTAACCTGGTCTTTTGATAGGTTTTTTGGTTGGTGTGTCTTTCCTTTTGTTCTGAATAGCAGGGGAATATGGAACCCCCGAAGAAGAGCTATTTTTTCGAAAATGTTCCTTCAGACCTTTGATAGCACGGTCCAGTTGGCTGGAACGGATCTGGTAGTAAACATTCATGAAATCTAGGAAGAAAACCACATCAACATAAAGTACTGTACTTCACACTCTTTCCCTCCCCCTTCCAAATCACCTTTGATACAAACAAAAATAACATGACTGAAAAGCATCCAAATCATGCCTTTAATTTATTTGATTCATGATTCCTCCTCACAATACATATTGTATGGTGTGTTCACGCAACTTGTTTGACATGCATTACCTGAAATGAAATAAATTCTGTTTTTAAAAGGAAAGAAAATAGTCCTTAGTACAGCTGGATAGATGCTTGCAGCTTCTGCAATGTGAACTTGAAGTTTAACAAAAAAATACTTTAGTAAAATTCCTACTTATAAAAGGAAAAAAAGCAAGCGCATTTGAAAATTGTTGATAAGTTGCTGATAATAACCATTTGAGGCTAAAGATTTTTAAAATATATCATTGCTGTACTGCAACTGCCCATCCTCACACAGACACCACAAGACACCCATCTTCACAAACATACACCACAAGAAAAATCAAGACTCAACTATCTCACAAACTGCACCAGAGCACAGAGTTCTGACTTGTGTCCTCTAAAGATGCCGGCCACAGAGACTGGTGAAACGTTAGGAAGAAAAACCTTCAGACCACGACCAAAGAGCCTGAAAAGCCTACAACAACCATCAGATCCTGGCCACGAAAGCCTTCGAGAATATAAAATCAAGACAATTCAATTTGCACAACAGATGTAAAAGGACTCCAGATCAGACTATAGAATATGTTCCATAGGGTAAAAAACCCAAGTATCTGGAGTGTTTTGTGTGTATGTGTGTGTGTGTGTGTGTGTGTGTCTGTGTGTGTGTGTGTGTGTGTGTCTGTGTGTGTCTGTGTGTGTGTGTGTGATGCAGCTGACTCAATACTACACTGACTGCATTTTTATACAACCACCCACAGCAATTACAGGTTCATGATGGTTATTTCAGAACAGTAGCCGACTGTGCTAATTTTCTAGGAGCAGAAACACTTGGCTGCTGGCATGCCTTGGAAATGTTTCCCTTTTCCATGGCTCATGTAGAGAGAAGCCCATTTCAGCCTTCCCAAACCTGACATACTGCAAAGTTTCATCTCAAATTCTTACCTGTCTGTGAGCATGGCCCATGAACAGTGCTGATGGCAGCAGATGTCTAAAACACCTGGAAGTTGTGAGTTGGGGAAGTCTGGTCTACTTCATTTGCTGTAACTGAACTGAATAAAAAGCCTACTGCCTTCATAAAGCTCAGATCGAATAAACCAGTGAGCTTAACTATTAGAATTAAACTACACATTGGCTGAAATCCTGTTGCTTAATCCAGGGATATATGCCAGAAACCAGCCATGTTAGTCTGTTGTAGCAAAAGCAATAGGTCACAAGCTTTACGGGAGAGAAGCAAAGCTCATTTTGACAGGTGCATCTGGCCAACAAAGGTTCACCCTGAAGTAGGCATTATTTTTTAAAGATGCCCCCAAACACTTTACTTTCCCCCCACTAATAACAAACTGGAACATTCTCTCAAGGCTCTGATTCTGTCACTTTCCAATGAAGGAAAATAACAGCTTCCCCCCAGCTAGAGGTGAGCATGAACCTCAGTTCAGAGGCTCGTGTCCACTTTCCAATGAAGGAAAATAACAGCTTCTCTCCAGATTTGTTCACACAACTAGATGTGAGCACGAACCTCAGTTCAGAGGTTCATGCTGGTTTGAATGCTCAGCATTACAGGTGCCACACATTCTCTTCCCCTGCCTCCTAGGCTGGATCCCCCACTCAGTAGCTAGCATGTGCTCTCCTCCTCTTCAGCTGTTCCCTGCCCTGCCTCTTTGGCTGATCGCCCGTTCAGGCAAGACAGGCAAACCTGTGCCCCAGCCGGGGACCGGTTGAACAGCCGAAGAGCAGGAGAGGAGCCTGCCCTGACTGGCAAGTGGGCCAATGGCTGGGGAGGCGGGGGAAGGGAACGCATGGCACACAACTGACTCGGCTCTATAAACCATTCCTATTATTACATAGTCAAATTGCCTCAAAGCAGGCTGTGAATTTTCAAGGAGGCATTTTTGTCAAATAATCTAAACTCCAGTGTTTAGGGCACAGTCCCCCACAGGCAGGGCCGGACTGGGACCAAAAATCGGCCCTGGCATTTACCGCCTAGCCGCCCCCGCCCCCCCGAGCGCCTGCCAAGCCCCTCCACAGCGG